TGGAGATGGACTCATGTGCACACATCCATGTTCACGCTACCATCCACAGAAACAGGGTGTCTTAGGGTGTTTATGGCTGTGAAGAGACACTATGCTCACGGCAACACTTATAAAGGAAACATTTAATTGGGGCTGCCTTACAGTTCAGAGGTTTAGTCTGTTATCATCTTGGCAGGACATGGCTGCTTGCAGGCAGACACGGTGCTGGAGAAGGAGCTGAGAGTTCTATACTTTGATCCGCAGGCAGCAGGAAAAGAACTGGCTTGAGCTTCTGAGACCTCAAAGCCCACCCCTACAGTGACACACTTCCTCTAACAAGGCCACACCTACTCCAACAAGACTACACCTCCTAATAGTGCCACTCCTTATGGGCCAAGCATTCAAACACATGAGTCTGTGGGGGCCATTCCTGTTCAAACCACCACACAGGGTGAGAGTGGAGGTGAACCCGCATTATACTTTGGGGTACTGGGGAGCCGTGGTGACAGAAAGGCTGATGACCTTGTCCTCTGTGGCGTTGCTTCCCTTGGACTGTTCTTTGCTGTGGCAGGCCTGTCTTGCATGGAGGACCACATGGGGGACCAGTTCAGTCTAATTAGTGCACTGTGTGAGTGCTGTACTATCCCTCCAGGTCCCATGGGAAGAACTGAGCTTCTTGCTTTCATGTCACGGACAGTGTGGACTTTACGAGCTGGGTTTGTTACCACCTAAGTCCACGCAGTGTGCAATCGGCTGGTGGAGTTACTTACCGGCAGCTCAAGAGCGATTAGTGGCAAGACTCTGGCTGAAGCTTGACTGCTTGGTTAGCTCCACACTGGGCGTTTACTGTCTTTATGAGTCTCAGTGTACTGTGTAGCTTCTTGAGGTTGATGGTGAGGGTGATGGTAATGATGGTGGTGATGATGATGTTGATGGTGATGGTAATGATGGTGGTGATGGTGATGTTGATGTTGATGGTAATGGTGATGATGGTGGTGATGATGATGTTGATGTTGATGGTAATGATGGTGATGATGGTGGTGATGATGATGTTGATGTTGATGCTGATGGTAATGGTGGTGGTGATGATGATGTTGATGGTGATGGTAATGATGGTGGTGGTGATGATGTTAATGGTGATGGTAATGGTGGTGATGATAGTGATGATGATGGTAATGATGGTGGGTGATGATGGTGATGATAATAGTGATGTAATAATTGTGTTATTGATGATGATGATGGTGGTGATGATAGTGATGATGATGGTGGTGATGGCGATGATGGGGATGATGGTGGTGATGATAATAGTGATGGTAATAATGGTGGTGATGATAGTGATAATGGTAGTGATACTGGTGATGATGATGATGGCAGTGATGGTAGTGATGATGGTGATGATGAAGTGATGATGGTATTGATGATAGTGGTGGTGATGATGAAGTGATAATGGCATTGATGGTGATGGTGATGATGGTGATAATGATTGTGATGATGCTATTGGTGATTATGGTGATGGTGATGGCATTTTGTTTTCCTTTGTCCTTAGTCTTCTATATTTTATCTTGTTTTTGTTGCTATAATAGTTACTCACCTCTAATACTCAATGGCCAAGTGGCTTCTGTTTCAAGACTGGCTCACAAGACTGTCTGTCTCTGCCTCTGACTGTTCACTTTATGAGTATACACATGGTGCTCACTCAGTGCTCAGTTGTGTTCTTGAACCTTCAGAGTGGTTCTTCTTCCTACTGATGTTTATTTTGGGAAAAGAGAAAAGAAAATCTGGCCTCAGAGACTGTGTTTCCTGCCTCCCTGAAGTAATGTTGGCACTCACAAAGACCTCACTCTCGGTCCTGTCTTCATGACCCTGAGACTTGTACAAGTGTAGCTACACCCAGGCCACTCAGGTGCCAGTGGGTAACCAGCAGATGGTGAGGGCCACAGTTGGGCATACTGGTGAGGAGTTTGTCTTACTGGTGGTTTGGAAAGACCTGCCAGTCTGGGCCCCCGGAGAGAAAGCTTTCTGTGCCTGGGTCTCCATGCCATGCTATCTCCATGCCCATGCTGTCTCCATGCCCATGCTGCCTGTGGGAATTGGAGAAAGAGACTCAGCTGCAGCAGCACCTTGCACCTCTGTCCAGGCTGGTGACCCTCAGCCACACAGCTGGTGAGTCATTTCCCAGATAGGGCTGACGGTGGTACTGCTGGAGACTATTTTCCAGGTCTGTGGCTCGTTACAGCTTTACACAAGTCTGCCTTTGGGGTTCAAGGCTTCAGGTCCTACCAGTCATGACCAAGGCGCATGTTCAGAAGGTGTTGGTAGGCAAGCATAGCAGTGTTATGCAGCCACTCTCTTTGGGTCTCCCGGGACCCCGTGAACTGCTTCATTACGCATGCTCCTTCATCCCCTCCTCTGTCCCAGCCTGAGCTCTCTTGGAGACCTTCTCAGGGCCACCTGCACTTGCTCTTTTGCATCTGAGCATTAGGACTACAGCCTCTTCCCGGTCTAACCTGGGCTTCACTGTTTGGCTCCCAAGGAGGCCAGGAAGAGCAGTCCTTTCTGCTGGCTCCCTGAAACCTTCCTCCTTTCCTGCTCTGGGTGCCTGGCTTCTGCCTTCCAGTGGCAATCAGCTCTCTAAGGAAAAAAACCAGGGTTGGGGATTTAGCTCAGTGGTAGAGGGTTTGCCTAGCAAGTGCAAGGCCCTGGGTTCGGTCCTCAGCTGTGGAAAAAAAAATAGCAGACCAAACAGGGCCTCATGTCCTAGTCCATGCCCGGGCTCAGTTCTGCCTGCGGATGGGAAAATGAATGGCGCTTCTCTATGACATTTTGGAATTAGAGGGAGGAATGTTAGCTTCTCAGGCCAGGGCTGGAGCATTTCCCAGGACAGCCTCGGGGCTTCATAAATGCTCCTAAATCAGGGTAGCATGCTTGGTTACTAGCTGGCGGGAGGAGAGGATGTGGCCTCAGCTGTGGATGTCTATGGCTGTCCATAGAGGCGGTGAGACAAAATTTATGTCACAATTGGCTTGATTGATGGTGGGACAGGAGTGAGGCCTCATAGGGATGTGTCTGATAAGTCGGAGGCTTTGCCTGAAATGAACAGAAGGAACAGCCTTAGGTTCCTCGTGAAGCCATTTTTTTGAGTGATGTAGCATAACCATATGAAAGATAAAGGAATAAGCCAAACCACAAAGAAGGCAGAGCATGTGAAAGTGTGTATTTATTTTGACTTCCTTTTCTGCATTTCTAAATAAATTAGATTTTTTTTTTTTATTTTTTGAGACAGGGTTTCTCTGTGTAGCGTTGCGCCTTTCCTGGAACTCACTTGGTAGCCCAGGCTGGCCTCGAACTCACAGAGATCCGCCTGGCTCTGCCTCCCAAGTGCTGGGATTAAAGGCGTGCACCACCACCGCCCGGCTAAATTAGAATTTAAACCCTACTCTGCATTTTAGGACCATAGGAGGGCCAGGTGCCCTCATAGTCCCTCCAAAGGGGGTCACCTTTTCCTGATCACTGTGGTCCAATGGTGAGCTATTCCATCAGAAAATTCACCTGGGATTTAATTTTCTGTTTGGAGAGTCCATCCCACCCCGCCAAATCAGCATACTCAAGCAAATTCTAATTTAAATTTCATCTGGTGAAGTAATCCAGACTTGGAAAGACAAATGTCATGTTTTCACTCCTATATGGAGCCTAGATAACACACACACACATGCACACACACCTATATACCACAATACATGCATACACATACATACCTACATACACATATACTATAAACACATACATATATGTACATACCACACACACACACACACACACACATACACACACGCACTCACACATGCACTCACACATGCAACATATAGTACACACACGGCCTGTTTCTGGGTGTGGGTTACATGTTTTAATGAATGATGCTTGGTTATTGTAACATTAGTTGAAAATACTAAATAGCAAAAAAAAAAAATCTTTGTTGGGTTACACAGACACACAGATGTAAGTACATGTATACACACATGCATATATAAATCTTCACTTTATCCAAATAGGGTCATATATGATAATCTGCTTCAGTTTCTATAACAGAATGCCTGAGACTGGGCAACATGTAAAGAGGAGAGGTCCAGGGCTAGTGAGATGGTTCAGTGGGTAAATATACTTCCTGCTAAGCTTAAAGTCCCAAGTTCAAATCCCAGGACCCATATGGTGAGAGAACCAACCCCTGCATGTACTGTCCTATGACCTCCACCTGTGTGCACCATGGCACATACAATCACACACAACATTCAAAAAAGAATAGAGGTTTAGTTGTGGGTGCATGTCCTTTCCCATGATGCACTGGTTTTAATCTTATATACCCCTAGTTGTGCATAGGCACAAGGTGGTAACTCGGGGGAGGGGAGGTCTCCCTCCAAATTCACTTAAGGACACAATTTTGGTTTACTGTGTATGTACTCCAAACCGGTTCAGGCCAGCTTGACCTTTCCATTCTTCATACCTGGATGTATTGGGAAGATATATGAATAGGAACTGTCTAAGTCTGATCGTTGTTATGGGGGGAGAAGCCTGTTATTCAGAGAGTAAGTGTAGCCCAAGTAGGTAGGGGACCAAGGTTGCTGGGTGCACTGTTCAGAGAGGGTTGTGTGCACAGTAAGCAGCTGACGAATGCATCGTTAGAGGAGCAGGGTGTGTATAACCCAAACCAAGTGGAGTCCTGGGCTTCTCATCATTCCCTATGCCTGACTCCCTTGGATGGGAAGAGTTAACATTTCTCCTCTGGAAAGGCAGCTGTTTAACTAACTCCAGGACTGTTGGATTTTTGGGCAGTTGGTCTACTTTGCCTTCTATACGGGGCTTTGCTGGGAGATTCTTAGGCCTTTTTGACTTCTTCTGTGATGGGAAGGCTGCATGGCCACGGTGCACCTTGCTGGGATGGTGGGTGGAGATGGCGTTACGTCGGTGCATTTCCTCATGTATCAGCACGGACCTTGACCCTGACCCGGCTTTCCTTTCTTGTGCAGACAGCACGGGTCGAGGCGTGGCAGACAGTCTACAGAGGTTCTCTTCGCTGCCTGCCTATCTCCCAGCCAGCTTCCACGTCTCTGATGCAGAGGAGGCGTTCTTCCTCAAGGAGGCCAACCAGGACCTCATGCGCAACGCCAGCCTGCAGGCCCGGTCCGCCACGCTCTTCATCCACCGAGCCCAGAGCCCGCCCGCCATCAACGCCAGCTACGGCCCCTTCTCTGCGGAGAAGACGGTGCCCTGGGACTTCCTGCTCACCCCCACCCCGTTTGGAAACATGGAGCGGTTCCCTTTCAACTGGAGGCTCAAATCCCACATCCTCGACAGCTCCATCTTTTCCAACAGACCCAAAGTGCAGACACTGTTCTATGTCACTGGCATGGGCTGGGATGACAATGACCCTGGGGATGATCTCCCCTGCGTTAAGATGTTTGCTTTCCCAGAGGCCAGGGAGGTGGCGGCCAGCTGCCGGCTGCAAGGTGCCCCTGGGCTGTGTGTGGCGGAACTGGAGCTGTTGCCTGAGTGGTTCAGCTCGGGTCTGGACCTGGAACCCGAGGAGGAGATCCCGGCGATACTGGGTGGCACGGCCATGGAACTCTTCTTTGCTCTTTACCCAGCCAATGAGGCTGGTCAGTGCCCGCTGGAGGAGGAGGGCAAATGGGAAAACAACATCCACTCGGAACAGGAGGAACCTCAGCCGGTGCTCCCTGCCCGGGAGAGGATCGGCAGTGTGGTGGTCTACCCTACCCAGGACGACCTGCGGTGGTCCTTAGTGAGCCTAGACGACAACGTCGCTCTCTCCATTCCTCTGAACCTCATCCGGGAAGGGGACACGGCTACCTTTTTGGTTTCTCTGACCAGCGGCTCCGTGGCAGAACAGTTCACGCTTCGGTAAGTAGGTTTTGTGCATCCGATGGGTGTGTGTGTGTGTGGGGGGGGGGGGGGGGGGTGGGATTGGCTCTTGGTGAACCCCGAGCTGCCGGCTACTAGGGTGGAGCTGGTCACCCGATCGCTGTCCAGTGTTTCTCAGAGGTTCACGTGTTTGATTCTAGTTAAGGTGGTGAGGATAGGTTTTATCCACTAGTTAACAACAGTAAAGAGCTGACCTCTATTCCCACGGGAGTCGGGGCGGTTTTAGAGAGAGGGAGGGTAGAGCAGATAGCTGAAGTAGAGTGATGGTGGGCTGGGGGTTGGCAGTGTGGATGAGGTACCAGTTTCATCGGCTGGCTGGCTGGGACAGAGTTAGAGGTCTGCCATCCCCAGAGCCTGGGAGACAGAGCCCTGTCTTTCCGGAGGATTCTATTTCAAAGAAATGGCTCTTGGGTCCTTGAGAGAGACATTTGTGGGCTCTAAGAGATACGTGTTTACGGTTCAGGGAATGCTTTAGAAAGAGGAGTTAGTATCAGACCTTCCCAGATGCACTCTCAGGCATCTGGGGCCCTTCTGGGGACAGTTCTCTGTCGCTGTGGGTCACTCTGGAGGTCTGTCATATCTCAGTGCAAGGATGGTGAGGTTGCCCAGTACTGAGAGTTCTGCAGGCCCAGAGTCCAGTGACGTGGGACCCTCACATGAGACTCACCTGAGATGACAGCTGGGGGTTGGGAGACATTCTGGAAAGTGCTCAGTGGTGATTCAGCTCTTCGTGCTGTCTTTTGTCTCTCCTGATGATTTCTCAGCTCTGTTGCTGTGGCCCGGAAGCATGCAGGATGAGGGACTGGGTTGCAGTAAAACGTATTTACAAAAGGAGGCATGTTTTGACCTCTCCACTGAATGATCAGATTGAAGCCAGAGTAGGAGAAGTCAGTGCCCCCCCCCCCCCCCCCACTGCCGTGTGTGTGTGTGTGTGTGTGTGTGTGTGTGTGTGTGTGTGTGTACAGCACAGGTCAACTAACTGGGCCCCGAAGGGTGGGAAGAATTTGAGGGTGGGCAAAGGAGGTGAATCCAAATGGAAGGAGGACCTTAAGCAAGAGATGAGGACCACACAGGTATATTAAAGGTATATTAATCTGAGGCTGGGGAGACGGCTTCATCAGTGGGCTTCATCATCAGTGGAACGTTTGCTGTTCCCGTCTCCCCTGGCACTTTATTTTGTTTTGATTTAAAACACCCTATCTAACCCTGTCCTCTCCATCATTACACTGAGCTTTCAAGAGTGGATGTTTGCAGCTCTGTTCACGGCCGGACGCGTTGCAGCCATGCTCAGTAGATGGACAGCATGTGGGTGTCTTGCTCTGGGCTTCCTGTTTAGGGAGTCCCTTTGGACAATGGGGGCTTGAGATGATGCTGGCAAGGTGAGCCCAGACCTCCCAGCACCCGGGCACTCTCTCACTAGGGGCTTGTTCCTCTTGGCCAGGTGACTTCCCCATTAAAATTCTCCTGGGTGGAGTCAATCCTGTGGCCCACCTAGATGCTCACAAACATGCACAGGGCAGACCTAAACCTGGCTTACCCACAAACGCGGCCTTCCCTGTGTAGACACAGAAGGCAGCTGGTGTGGAGGATAACGATGTGAGCCCTTGAGTTCTCAGTGCTCCTTGCCCCAGGGTTCGACTTGCAAAGGCAGCATGAGAGTTCTAGGAGATGCTCTGGGGTGCCACTGGCTTTCCCAGCTCAGCTGCAGTGGAGAAACTGCCCCCCTTCTTTCTTGCTTGGACTGACTTCCATGTGGTAATCTCTGTACTGAGCAGTCTGTGTCCCATAGGCTAATTGCAACTGTATGGCATTAAGGAAAATGGGTAGGAGAGGGAGGGGAGAGAGGGAGAGAGAGAGAGAGAGAGAGAGAGAGAGAGAGAGAGAGAGAGAGAGAGAGAGAG